ACACCCCTCCCACCAAGCTCTTCGAGACAAGACAAGGTGAGCAAGGTCATGGGGCTCTCTCACCCTACCAACCTGCTGCATGTGCACATGCACACTCATAGAATCATAGAATTATAGAGTTGGAAGAGACCACAAGGGCCATCGAGTCCAACCCCTTGCCAAGCAGGAAACACCATCAGAGCACTCCTGACACTCAGTCAAGGTGAATGTGTTCTGATCCCAACTATGGAGGTGGGACTTGTTTCTCGGTGGCAAGGCTGTGTTTGGTGCCTTGCCACCAGCTTCATGGCAGCTGCCTCCTGTTCAGCCCCTCCATCTGGCTGGTCATAGTCCTCCCAACTCCCCGATGAGGCTCTATGCTCCACTGGAGGGGCAGAGTAGAGAGCTTCTCCTTCTCTGACATCTCCGCCAGCCTTGGGTTCCAGCCTTCCAGACCCCCACCTGCTGCTGCTGCTGCTTCCTCCTGGTCAGTTTGGGGCTGCCATACTATGCCAGATTCTGATGGAGCCAATGGGCTGATGACACCTGCTTTGGTAAACTACACCTGTGCCTGTGATCCCATCCTTTTCAGCTGCTAGACAGCCTTTTTATTTGTAGGCTAACAAAATATATCAGTCTTATGAACTGTTTCCACCCTCCCTGCTTTGTGTTTCCTAATAAGTTGTCAGGGATGATCAGCCTGACGCACCGGAATGCTTGTTCTTCGCCACGCCAATTCCCTTTTGAGAACGGCTTTGATCCAGGTAAAATGTTGAAGGCTCTGCCTCGTATATTTCAAAAGCTGTTTGCCTTTGTGTTTGGTTACTTTCCCCAAGTAGCTGTCCAAACGTATATTTCAGAACACCGAAAGGGTAAGGAAGTAATCTGTCTGGTTTATAACACACAGGGCATTCATTCTTTACATCCACATTTGCTGGTGATCACTTCGATGCCACTATTTTGAAAGATAGAGCAGCTTTCTTCAGGTTGCTGAAACCGACAGCCAGAAGTATTCTAAAGAGAATTGGAATTTGGCAATTTGTACATCACACGTAACCCACAGGTAAGCCCACAGGTAAGAGGGTCTTTGGTTCTTTCAAATTCTATCATTCTTTTATTTATTCATTTTCAATGTCCATACGGGTGTTATTAATCAAAACATCTGCAGTTTGGTTGCAATAAAGTGGCATTTCAATGAAACAAGGACCACATTTGGCACTAGGCCTAAAGTCTCCCACCCCTGAGTGTGTGTGTGTGTGTGTGCACGCAGAAAGAAAGAAAGAAAGAAAGAAAGAAAGAAAGAAAGAAAACAGAAGTTGACTAGTTTGGTGAAGTATTTAAGATCATCAGGAAAACCAAATTACACATTGTACTGTGAAAATGTCTGTTGCATATAAGAGAAATCCCACCAACATCCTTTTTCAGGGTCCTCCAAACCTTTGGCAACATATGATTTATGAGAGTGGTTCCCTCCCCACAGCTAATGCTAAACTTCACATATTTTTTTACCAAAGCAAAAGTCATAAATACTGTAAAGTTTTCCATTTTGGGAAAACTGATGTTTGGGCAGTCACCAGCATCTATGTCAAGAGTTCCTGAGATCTGAAACCTTTCAATTGATCATCCCATAGGTTTAGTAAACAAAGCTCCAGTGCAGTTGTGCCATTACAACGGCGCTCTGGCCTGCTGACAGTATGGCGTAGCTGAGACTCCAAGGTACATACGCCTGCAGATTGGCTGGAGGTGAGAGCTCAAGAGCTGTCATGCTGAGGCTCTCATCCATGGTCAGGAAACCACTGGGCAAGCCAAGCTTGGAAGAGAGGGTGCTCGTGATGTGCTATTATTCAGAGACATGAACGGATATATGCCACTATCCCTACATGACTTGTGACATGCCCTCTGTGTCGCTGATTGACTCAATTTAGCTTTAACAGAAATATGTTAAACCAAACCATTGAATGAATACCAATGTTGCTTTTGAAGATGTGATAAAGGTTCAACCTTGGATGGTTTTGATTGCTCAGTCCTATAGCCTTGCAGACCCTGTCCTCTTTCTTCAGTGCAGGGACAGGAAACTTGTGACCCTCCAAATTTTATTGGACTGCTGCTCCCATCAATTCTGACTGCTGGCCATGCTGGCTGAGGTTAATGGGGGTTGGAGTCTAGAATCTGTGGTAGTTACAGGGTATACTCAGGGCTGGATATAGGTTTGATGAGGCCCTAAGCTACTGAAGGTAATGGGGCCCTTTATATGTCCAGCTATCCTTTGTCAACAACAAATTGTTGCTGTTTTTTGTGTTGAATATATGCTATATGGTAATTTATGGGCCCAAATAGGTATCTAGAGCCATTTGCCACTGTTGTTGTATGTAGGTTTTATTTGTTTTTTATCTTATATTTTGGAAATGTACATCCAGGGGTTTTTTTCCTTTAAATTTTTTTGGGGGCCCCCAGAGAGTGGGGCCCTAAGCTATAGCTTATTTAGCTTATACGTAAATCCGGCACTGGTTATACTTTACAGGGATGTGCAGAAGTTGCCCCAAATCATTTGACCCTTTTAAATAGTCTTCTTTCCCCCCTAGAAAAATCACTCATGCAACACTTGCCTTTAAAGTTTAAAAATAACATACGGCTTTTACTTGCTGTACTTGCTCTTGTAGATTGAATGTACAAGAGAAGTAGGTGATACTTATGTTCCTGGAACATATTTACATGAATTTATGTCTGAGACTAGCTAATATTTGCAGACTGGCTCTGAGGCAGGCAGCAACATAGTACAGCACACTTACTGCTCTCGCAGTTAAAACACGCACAAAAATTGATAACTGAACTAACTGCAAAAAACCCACACCCCTGCATCAGTATGTGACATCACAAGATTCTATGCTACAGCATTAACCCTTTGCGTAGTATTTTGGATGCACCATTCCCACAGAATCATCACAGATTAATAATAATAATAATCTGGCTGAGTTTCCCCAGCCACTCTGGGCGGCTTCCAATCAAGTGTTAAAAACAATACAGCATTAAATATTAAAAACTTCCCTAAACAGGGCTGCCTTCAGATGTCTTTTAAAAAGAAGATAGCTGCTTATTTCCTTCACATCTGAAGGGAGGGGGTTCCACAGGGCGGGCGCCACTTCTGAGAAGGCCCTCTGTCTGGTTCTCTGTAACCTCACTTCTCGCAATGAGGGAACCGGCAGAAGGCCCTCAGCACTGGATCCCAGTGTCCGGGCTCAACGATGGGGGTGGAGACGCTCCTTCAGGTATACAGATTTCCTATAACTGCTACATGTACCACTAACACAGATGTGTAGAAAAGACATGACGGAATGGAAAGAACAGAGAGCTGCAACACATAGCTGAACAGAATTCAGTGGAAGAATCCTGATACATCCAGGGAGATATTTTGGTGTGGAGAAGTGTCCCTTTTGTTGACTCCATGTTCCAGTGTTATGAAAGTGGGCAAATAAATGACTAATTGCTATACAGGGTACCTTGGTTTGCAACCGCTTTGGATTACAACCATTTTGGATTACAACCACGTCAAACCCAGAAGTGTGTGTCCCTTTTTTTGGATTACAACCAATTTGGGGGGGGAGGCCCTATTGGCAAAAGCACACCTTGGGTTACAACCTGTTTTGGTTTACAATCGGACCTCCAGAATGGATTATGGTTGCAAACCAAGGTACCACTGTACAGGCATTCACTGAACAGTCAGAAACTTCTGGGTGCAACTATCCCACGTGGTGAAGAACTGAACTTCAGGAGACAGCTGATTAGTGAAGTACCTTTAGGCCACAGATTGGCTCTGCCTACCAAGACTAGCCATTGTCTCCTGGACAGAAAGGAGTGTAAGAGACCTTCCTGTTCCACTTGAGCTTCAGTTCATGATCAGCTGCTCCTGATGTTCCATACATGTTAACCCTGGACCTGTGTCATGTAAAATACTGGCTTATGAGAGCATCACTATGTACTGCCATTGCTGTGCTAATTCCCCCCAAGTCACTGCCTAATTCAAAAAGCATATGAATTAGCTTAATTGCAAAATGGTGCCAATGAATACACGACTCAAAAACCCTCCCCCCAGTACATATCATTGTTATTCCATGCACCCACAAGTTCTCTGCTTGTGACCATTTCCTTGAGGGCTGTCCGTGCTGGAATAATTGATGACAATATTTATCATAATAATAAGGTTGAGGAGATGGAGCATCAGTCGCTTGGTAAATTTATTTGCCACTGCCCAGGAATGAATGCTTGATTGAAAGTTCTTTCTAAATATCAGCTGACGCAGAGCTGGCTACTGGTCATCAAACACAGAGACATAATTGGAGAAAGAAGTGGAGGCAAAAGGTTTATTAAATCAACACTTCCCTTGATTAGAGCCAGTGATTACATAGTCAGGGACACACTCCTTCTCGGATGCTAAAAACATTTCTCTACCTTTCTTTCTTTCTTTTTTAGTTCATTAGTTAGGAGGTCTCTGACTATACAGTGTTGTTTCATATACACAAGCCAACTAGATTGGTGGTTGACTGGTGTTTGGATAATATCCTCTACCACACTGGCCTTCAACTAGTGGGTTGGGACCTACTAATAGGCTGTGGCCTGATCCAAAGTGGGTCAGAACAAGAGCATTGCCACAATGCAAATATATAGTAAATATTAACAAATGGGTCCAACAACACATGTTTGGATTAAAAGGGTCTCCTGGGTCTGAAAAGGTTTAAGTTACCTGCTCTACTGCACATGAAGGTAGCAGAGTAGTTACTGCAGGAGGCGGGGACAGGTCATGTGACGCAACATCTCTGCCTCGAGAGACCAGGGCCCTGCAGGATCTGATTTCTTTCCGCAGGGCCTGTAAGACAGAGTTGTTCCGCCTGGCCTTTGGCTTGAAGCCAATTTGATTCCCTCCCTCTCTTTCTTTTTTCCTTTCCTTCTCCTCCTGCGATGAGGCTACATTTTAATATTTTAATGTTTCAGTATTTTAATTTTGTTTTTAAGTTGTAATCATTCAACTTGTTTTTATTATTGCTTGTAAGCCGCTCTGAGCCCAGCCTTGGCTGGGGAGGGTGGGGTATAAATAAAAATTATTATTATTATTATCCTCCAACAGTTGGGCATGACCATGAGGCTCAGGTTTCAGAGGGCTGCCACTATTCCCCCTTAGCATCTGCCACCCGAAGCAATGGCCTTTCACTGCCTAATGCTAGGGCCGGCCCTGATATTTAGCAGTTGTTTCCAGGAGGCATTTCAGACACCATTCTGTAGACCACACAAGCAGCCTTGCTTCTCGTTTGGCACTGACAGTGCGAACCTACTCAGAAGTGTGCATTACTGGGTCCTACTCTCAGGCAAGTGTATACATGCTTTTCTATGAACATAATATGTATCATGTAACTAGAATTTACAAATATGGCTCATAAATCTGGAAATAAACATGGACTGGAAAGGTGCAGTTTGAATGTTGAGTGCTTAGGCTGGGCACTTGAGCCTCATTGAATTTTTGTAATGATAGGTGTACACAGGCTCTGTGTACCTTTGAATGGATGTGTGGATACACACAGGTAATCCATATTCCACCTCCAAAAGACAGATTCTTCAGTTGTGTATATCAGGCAAATTGTACAAATGCACATTTTCTCCAGTTGGGCATCTGTTATACACTTGCCATCATTTTGCACAATTTTTCTGGAATTGCTGGTCTTGGGGAGGAGCAGGGAATTTTTCAGGATACTGAAGCTCCATATCAAAATTTACATCCTATTCAGTGTTCCCTACACCTTTTCCAGCATCTGTCCTTCTCTCATCTAGTCATAAGGACTAGAATCTTATACTCTCATGATCTTCAGATTTTAAGGAGTTTCCCAATAGAGAAATATTTGAATAATGAACTCTGACCAAAATGACTGCATCACTGGACATGCCCACAACATGTTTCTCATTTCCAGCAATACATCTTCAGCATCTCTCTGCATTAGACAGTGTCTTCCTGTAAATAAGTTGTGGGTTTAGCCCTAGTCACAGATTCAGATGTTTTCTAAGGCAAAAGAGAGTAAGTGATGGTTGAGTGGTCTGGGCCTTACTCAAACAATAAGAATGCAGGAGAACAACACAAAGGAGGTTCTGGAAACTGGTTTCAGGATACCAGTTCATAAATCTTAATTTTTAATTGCTCATTCACATGCCAGGAGAATGCATTCAAACTTTAGGTACCATCTGCACATTTCCAAGGAGATCGTAGAAACTCACTTCTAGAATCATTATCTTTTCAGAATTAACTTTCTCAGTTAAACTCAGTATAACCTTGAAAAACTGCCAGTATCTAGTATCTACTACCTGTCAAACACATCCAACACCTTACCAAGTTACAACATTTGAGGCTTGTTTTTATAACAATTTTTATTGAGTTTTAGCTGTACAGCAAATATAAAACAAACAATCGATCAATATAAGATAATAGAACAGAGCTTTGAGTGAAGTTACAAAGAATACAGAAAAATGGAAGACCGGGTCTATTCAGGTAAGTATAATGACGAATAATGTTTTGACATCTTGGATTAATCAGTTTGTTTCTTTGCTTCTCTTACAGAACGCTTGGGCCCACCAAGATAGAAAACCACCTAGGAGGCACAAAGACAATAAAACAAAGGACAAGGATAAGCATGTCAAATCAGCCAAATCTATTTGAAAGCCACAGGTGGAGAATGATCATGTTCCTGGGTGTTCACATAGGTTACAAAATCATATTGGTTTGAAATAAAGTTATCATTTTTACTTTGACCTCTTGTGACTCTCAGTTTGTGTACTAATGTTTCTAACAGTGCAATATCCCGCATCTCTGCAGGCCAGTAGTCTACAGTGGCACCTGTCATGTCTCTCAAAAATTTCACAGTGGTAGGTCTAGCAGCATTGAGTACATATCCCATTAATTCTCTATTATATGAAATAGACTCATCTTCCATAAAGAGGTTGAGAAGTGCTAGTTATGTGGAGTATGTGTGAGTATTTAATAATATTAACCAACTGGAATATTACACTGTCTTCTAAAAGACTTGGACTCCTGGGCATGCCCACCACATGTGTAAATATGTGCCCAATGCTTGGCACCCCCTCCAACACCTCAGCTCATGTACAACAAATTACGTGGAGCAACAAAAAGTGAGTATGAGAGGAACATGATATAGATGTACAAATATATACAAAGTGTGGGAAAAGAGGGTAAGACAGAAGTTTTTCTTCCTCCGTCATAACAACTGAACACAGGTTCATCCTCTGAAGCCGAAGAGTGGAAGTGTGCAAAGAGACAAAAGGAAACACTTCTTCACACTGGGCGCAATTAAATGATTGCATTTGCTTCCACAATATGTGGAATCACGGACAAGGGGATTAGATATTAGACATTCATGGAGGATAAGGCTTTCAGTGGTTAGTAATCACAATGTCCATGTGCTGTCTCCAGTATTAAAGACAATATACCTCTGAATGCCAGCCGCTGAGGAACATGAGTGAGAACTTTTGCACCCATGTCTTGCTAAGTAAAGGACTCCTGACCATTAGGTCTAGTCGTGGCCGACTTTGGGGTTGCAGCGCTCATCTCGCTTTATTGGCTGAGGGAGCCGGTGTACAGCTTCCCGGTCATGTGGCCAGCATGACTAAGCCGCTTCTGGCGAACCAGAGCAGTGCACGGAAACGCCGTTTACCTTCCCGCTGGAGCAGTACCTATTTATCTACTTGCACTTTGGCGTGCTTTTGAACTGCTAGGTTGGCAGGAGCAGGGACCGAGCAACGGGAGCTCACACCGTCGTGGGGATTTGAACCGCCAACCTTCTGATCGGCAAGTCCTAGGCTCTGTGGTTTAACCCACAGCGCCACCAGTGTCCCTAGTGGGTGCTAAATAGACATCTGGTTGGCCACTGCAAGGACAGAATGCAGGACTCAATGGGCCTGGGGGAAGTCTTCATTGTTGTCCAAATTTCTCCTAATATACACCATTTTTATATAGCTTTGTCAAATACATTCCGCATTGTATGCTATTTCCAGTAATATATGCCTTTTCATACACACTTCACCATAGATGACTTGGCTGTAGAATTGTGCTGCAAAACTCAGAGGAGCGTGAATTTTGATTCACATATCATTTCCGGAAGTGCAGATAAAGCAGATTCACCTTTAAATGTGAACTGAAGCCGGTTCCTCCCTCTCTCCAAGTTAGGATGGAGGTCCGAGTATGTTGATGCTTGCAACAAAATCTAAATCACATGACATAAGCATTTAAGTAGAGGACGAGGGGGAAGAAGCCTTTGCTTATGGCAGAGTTTCTGACTTCATCAGTTTGCTGAGCTCAGGAACTGAGTCAACAGTAATTAGCTCTCTGTCCCAAGCAGCATGAGAGATGAGCAACAGAAAATATGCGCCGGCAAAAATTTTGAGGTAAGCAACTGCTGTGCATTTAATGAATAGCTCTGTCACAGTTTTCATTTACTGCCCCCTCTCAGCCATTAAGGAGCATACTTGCAGCTGGTTGCAGAATACCACTTGAGTGATACATCTCCTTCTTCTTTTAGATACTGGGATCTATGGATCAGTGGCAGAACGTGTGCTTTGCATGCAGAAGGTCTCGGGTTCAAGGTAGGGCTGTGAAAGAATTCTTGTCTCAAAGAAGGAAGACAAAATAATACCTGTTGATCAATGGAGAGCCCCGTCTCCAGTCTGATTTGCCATTCTTCTGGATTAATTTCCAGATTCGTAATGCAGAAAGCAGAATTAATTATCCATATGACTGCCAAACAGAGTATCTGGATTATGGTGACCCGGAAACTGCGGCAGCTAGACTGGTGACTGGGAGTGGCCGCCGAGACCATATATGAAAGACCTACATTGGCTCCCAGCATATTTCTGAGCACAGTTCAAAGTGATGGTGCTGACCTTTAAAGCCCTGAACGGCCTCGGCTCAGTATACTTGAAGGAGCATCTCCACCCCCATCATTCAACTCAGACACTGAGGTCCAGCTTTGAGGGTCTTCTGGTGGTTTCCTCACTGCGAGAAGTGAGGTTACAGGGAACCAGGCAGAGGGCCTTCTCGGTAGTGGCGCCCGCCCTGTGGAATGCCCTCCCACCAGATGTCAAAGAGATAAACAACTATCTGATGTTCAGAAGACATCTGAATGCAGCCCTGTTTAGGGAAGTTTTTTAATGACTGATGTTTTGATGTATTTTTAATCTCCTGTTGGAAGCCGCTCAGATGTTGGAAAGATGTTTAGAAGACATCTGAAAGCAGCCCTGTTTAGGGAAGTTTTTAATGTTTGAAGTTTTATTCTGTTTTTAATGATCTGTTAAAAACTGCCCAGAGTGGCTGGGGAAACCCAGCCAGATGGGCAGGGTAGAAATAATAATAATAATAATAATAATAATAATAATATACCTTCCAACATTTCTCCAAGGAAAATAGTGATGTCCATTTCAACAACAACAATAATTTTAATACTCTGCCCATCCGACTGGGCTGCCCCAGCTACTCTGGGCAGCTTTCAACATATATTAAAAACATTATTAAACATTTTTAAAAGTTCCCTCTACAGGGCAGCCTTCAGATGTCTTCTAAAGATTGTTTAGTTACTTATCTCCTTGGCTCAGGGGGTTACATAACTCCAACATTTCTTCGATGAATATAGGGACATCCTACCACACCCTCCAACATTTCTCTGATGGAAATAGGGACATCCTAAGGAAAACTGGGACATTCCAGGATCAAATAAGAAACCAGGATGGCTTCTGTAAATCCGGGACTGTCCCTGGAAAGTAGAGACACTTGGAGGGTCTGGTAGATCTGCATTTTCAGGCCTAGCTATCCCAGCCTGTTCTTTGTGTCTCCCATTTCCCGAGACATTTTATAACCTCAAGGTTTCCCCCACTCTTCATTTTAGCCGAGGCTCTGCAGTTAGACTCCTTCCCTTCCAGTAAGCAGAAGAATGAGAGTGCCCTGCCCTGCTCCTGCTCCCACAGGTGGAGCCTCCAGGCAGTGTCCAAACATGGCCTCCACAAGAGCCATTGCCTGACTGGTGCTTGGTAGCATGGATCAAGGCTTACTTAAAGGGCAAGGCACTGACAAAGGACCCATGAGCTCCAGTGGCAATCACAATAACACTTGAGAACTGCATCCTCCCCTCTCTCCCCTCAGACAAATGTGTTCTACATGAACTGCATAATTACATCTGCAAAGACAGTTCTTTTTCTCATTTCCCTCATTCTAGAAATAGGTTGTGGGTTTTCTTTTCCTTTCATTTCTCCCCCTGCAGAACTTCCCCCCGGGATATGCCACAAAGCAAAGCAATCATGCAAAAAGATTTATGACAGTCATTTGTTTACACAAATATATTCATAGACATTTTGAGTTCCCTCTTCTGTCTTTCCATTTTATTTAGTGTGAAAGCACAAGCTGTTCCCAAGTCACACTTATGCATTTTTCATAAATCAGATGCTACTGATATTATCACTGGAGAAGCAGACATATTCCAGGGTTCCTGCGTGGAGAGGGTTTTGGCTAAGAAACATGGAAAGTGGAAATTGTAAGGGGAAGGGGCACAGAATGAATGAGCAATACTGGAGCAAAACCAAAATGATCATGGCGGAATGCATGCAGAATACAACTTTTATGGGGCAGGGACCTACTATGCGTGCAGGGAATTGCCATGTACTCAATGTTGATTGCATGCTCTGTGAACACTGTCCAAGTGTACCATAGCTCTGTAATCAGCCTCCCTATCATCTAAAGAAGGATATGAGGATACACAGCAATGGTTGACAATATGGTGCCCTCCAGATGTTTCTTGACTACAGTTCCTATCATCCTTAACCACATGAACCAGGGCTGATGGGAGTCATAGTCCAACGACAACTTGGATTAAGAACGCTGCAAACCCGGAAGTAGGTGTTTTGGTTTGTGAACTTTGCCTTGCTTGCAGAACATGTTTCGCTTCCTGTTGAGTGTGTTCCATTTGTAAATTGAGTCCCTTGCTGCTATGGGAAAGCATGTCTTGGTTTAAGAACGCTTTGGTTTAAGAACAGACTTCCAGAACAGATTAAGTTTGAAAACCAAGGTACAACTGTATATTGAAATAAGTGTGTTGAATCAAAAGTCTTAACAAAACATCCTTAAACAATGAAAAGGCAACAATCATTTCATTTCCTACACCCTTTATTTTACACCACTGTAAATTGTAAAAAATAAATAATTGGTGTTTGCTATTTAGATCAATCCGTATAGCTCATTGAGTAGAGCATGAGACCCTTAATCTCAGGGCCGTCCTTTGAGCCCCACGTAGAGCAAAAGATTCCTGCAGGGGCTGGACTTGAAGACCCTCGTGGTCCCGTCTAGCTCTTCCATGATTCTGTAATCTAATGGCATTGCTTTCAAGTGAAATCATTCTCGACGCACTCAAACACAGTTCAAACACATTCAAAGGTTTTAATAAAAAGTAATCGTTATTAAATAATTTTCCAGATGAAATACATTGTTTCCGAGAGATTTGCATGGGAAAATCTTTTCGATTCCTCAACAATAAGGGGCAGTGGGGTGAGGGAGGCCAGGGCCACATCCACACCATTTCATGTGCTATGAAGCCGCTTTAAACACTCATGGCTTCTTCCCCCAAAGAATCTGGGAGCTATAGTTTGAAAAGGGTGCAGAGAGTTGTTAGGAGACTCCCTGTTCCCCTCCCAGA